TATATATATATATATATATATATATATATATATATATATATATATATATATATATATATATATATATATCATACATACATACATACCATACATACATACATACATACATACATACATACATACATACATGTATGTATAGCCAGATCTCAATCTAATAGACCACCTTTGCGATGTGGTAGAACGGGAGATTTGCATCATGGATGTGCAGCCGACTGCATACAGCTATGTCAATATGGAGCAAATTCACTGGGGAATATTTCCAGTAGGCCTACCTTGTTGAATCTATGCCACGAAGGATTAAGGCATTTTTGAAGGCAAAAGGAAGTCCAACCCTGCAAGACATAGGCCTACGTGTCAAAATAAATTCTTAAAGCGTCACAGCCCTGCACAGATTTGCGCTAACCCTGATCAAACACAGCTGAGCCAAATAATCGAGGTGTTTAAAAGAATCTTGATCACCTTGATTATTTGAATCTGCTGTGTTTGATCAGGGTTGAAGCAAAACTGCAGAGCTGACACACCTAGTAAGGAATTACCCAATAAAGTGGCCGGTGTGCGTCTATCTATAAGAAAATAAAAAATAAAAAGCTACATAAATAAATATATGATGATATATTAATTAATCCTTTTTAACTTTTTAATATACTTCAACGATCTCGATGAGTTAAACCTTTCCTAAATATCAATTAGAGATAATTCATGATTTAACCAAGGTTTATCTTTTTCATATGCCACATACTCAAAAACAATATCATGTTTCTTAATTCCCATATCACAATTACCGAATAGTTCCCTCTATTATTCACACAATTTATTTATTCGGATGTACCTATGTGATATATATTGAATAGCAGTTGAACATTTGTCACTCATGTTATGGTGCATTTTTATAGGGATCTATTTTATAACATTGTTATTTCTATAATACTGATGAAAAGTGTTGAATTGAATATTTATACATAAAGAAAGATGCTAAGTGCATTTATTGAATTAATTATTTTCGATTGCCATGTCTGCGTCATGACGTCACCGCACGCTTCATTGGGTGACGCGGCCGTGATGTACTTCATTCAGAGTAAAGACAAGACAACATAGCCAGCTGACAGCTGAGTCCTGATCATAGACTGTAAAATATAGTCCTGATGGAGAAATTTTGGTAAGCATATTAGTATATATAGATATAGATACGAACTGTAGGTGGCGGCATGTGCACATTACACCAGCCCGCCAATAAAAGGAAAGAAGAAGAAGAAGAAGAAAGATAACATTGAAGAAGCCAGCTTTGCATCGCTCTCTTTTCCATCTTTCTTTATTTATCTTTATAAACTTCTTTTCAGGTAAATTTTTTAACTTAATGTTTAAACACTGTGTAGGGTGATATTAATGATCGACGTGTTGAATGCTGTTCGTTTGATTTGACTTACAGTGTCAATAGGTTAGCAGGTCTGGAGCACGTTAATATGAGTGCCTTGCGATTAGCGCGGTAGCCGCTAACATGTGACCAAATGCCAGTAACGTTACTGTATGCCGACGCAGTTTGAGTTAAGATTGTGATGTTGTTACATGTTTATGAGTTTTTCTAAACGGGTACATGTAGATAATTGATAATTTTTCCTGAGTTATACATTGTTTTTTCCGCTACATTCATTATTCCATGGCGGGGCGCCACGCCAAAATTCATCCCATCACGGCTAATTACAGCTTCCCATTCAAAACATTTTTTTAATAGCGGGTGACAATCGCACCAAAACATATAAAAGGGTAAGTGAATTATAACAGCGCAAACTTCTTCAAGCGTAGTAGTGCTGTGCGTCATTTGTTTAACCCTTTAGGGTGAAGTGCTGACTGACTGGCTGACAGGTGCGTGATGCATGAGGCCAGCAAACACGACTTATAGCCGTTTTACTTTACTTCAGAGCGCATTAATGCTGCTCTGCAGGTCTATTGAAGACATTCATAAATATTCCTTGCAAATTTAATAAATGCTGGAGACATACTCGTTACATAAACGCACTAAATCGCACTTCAGCAGTGTTTTGGATCGATGGTTCTTTTTGGTGTTTATGTGTGCATTTTCAATAGCTTTTTTTATTTATGAAAATGTGTGTCTGTTGAACTGCATAAAGTTAGGCAAATAACTTGTTGTTCGTATTTACTTATTTCCTTTAATCTGTGTTGGTGTGTGAACTCATTCATGTTGACATTTTAGTGCTTTAAAAATTAATTAGTAAAGAGTAAAGACAACATTATAGAAGCCATCTTTGCATCACTCTCTTTTTCAAGTTTCTTTATTAATCTTTATAAACTTCTTTACAGGAGTATTACAAAATTTGGAGGCAGCGCTGGGATTGGTGTCAGATTGGTCATCCCTCGTAATCTTCAGGAACCCCCACTAAAATCCATCTCTTAACTACCCAGACGTGGAGCTGTTGAGTAAAGTGACCAGACAGAATTGATTGAACGTAGCATGCACGCTGGGTACCAACAACCACCAGAAGCAGCTGATTTAAGTCAGATAAGTCAAAGTTCACACACAAAACTGTAAACACTGAAGGAAAGATGGAGGCTTAGCACAACCTTCAGGACCAGATTCGTGAGAGACTGTGTACATTAACCAGAGGAAAATTAATTGAACTGGCTCAATCCATTGAAATCCACATAAACGCAAATGCCACACGCCTTTCTCTAGTTACTCTGCTAAGTAGTTATCTGCTGCAAAAAGACTTGGAAGAACTTGAGGATGGAGGCATGGCGAAGTTGCTAGATATAAATTATAAGTAATTGAGTGAGATGATGTTAACTAATGTAAATGAGGAAAATCCAGCCCAGGTACAAAGAGGGGAAATTAACCACACAGCTAATTCTACACAAACAAACTTGCCTACTTCACCGAGCTCTAGATTGGCACCTGCATCAACAGACAGTGTAGCAGCTAACTCATTGCTACCCCCACAGGGACAAATAATACCAGCTGTTTGGCACCGAAAGTTTAAGATTTCAGGTTTTATCGGAGAGCCGGGCCAAAAGGATAGATTAACATACTCGTGTTTGGCGCGTCAAATTGAAAGTGGACTGAATAAGTGTTACCAAGATCAAGAAATCGTTGATGCAGTTATTCGAGCTATTACACCAGGCCTTCAATTACGCAGCTACCTGGAAGGAAAGACAGATTTGACTCTACCGATGTTAAGACGAATTCTCCGTTCACATTACCAGGAAAAGAATGCAACAGAGTTAAATAAACAACTGACTGCAGAATCACAGCGTCCAAAAGAAACACCTCAAAGTTTCCTCATACCTGTGCTTGACATGAGGCAGAAAATTCTCTTTGCATCACAAGAAGATGAGTCAGGTTTGAAGTGTGACCCAGCACTCGTACAGAATGTTTCTTCACACTATGTTAACAGGTTTGCAGAATGACCGTATTCAGGGTGATCTCCAACCGTATCTGATGGACGCCACAGTTACAGATAAGATGCTGTTGGAGAAGTTGAATGTTGCATGCTCCCACAAGGCTGAGAGACTGAGTAAAAGAAAAGGTGAACGAAGTGCCAGTGTGAATGCTACTCAGTCAAGTGAACCAGCCTTGCAGTCAAAAAAACAAACAAAAGCAGCCAAAAATTTATTTGATGTCACTGTTAAAAAGTTTTAGTAAAGAGGTAATGCAGATAAAGGAATCAATGCAGCAACCCTCACCTCTGCAGCAACAATGCGCTGTGGTCAACAGTTATGTCCCACCTCTAAGAGCAGCCCATCAGTCTACCTCAGAAGGGAATCAGGCGCTGCAAAATCAGGTCTGGAGGGCAATGCCACAGACGAGTGAACAACAGCAATATACATTTCAAGCCCCTCATTTCACACCACAATCATATCAACAGCAAGCTAATTCAATGCCAGCACGGTATATCCAACCAACCCAATCATCTCTTTACGCAGCTCAAGGCTTCCATCCACTACAGTTCAGCGCAGTCACAACCATACCTGGTGACGCCCCAGTCACAATATTTCCAGCTGCACCGACAGCCACGTCCCTCAAGGCCAAGGCAGTGTTTCCATTGTCAGCAAGCGAGATCAGCTGAACTGTGCATTGTGGATCGACGATGGAAAGATCAGTACCTACCTGGAGCGAGGACGCGAGATGTTTCTGAAGTGACGGAGGCCGCTGACGGTCTGAGTCTTGTCGCAGCCAATGGTTCCAGCATTCCCAATGAAGGATGGGTGGAAATCGCCTTCAATCTGGCTCCTCCTGCAAACAAAATAAGAGTTAGTCATTCCTGTGCTTGTTCTAAAAGGACAGCTGTTGTCCAAGCCGATCATTGGATATAATGTTATAGAACAGGTAATGAAGCAAAATGAAGCTGGGGGGCAGAGGGATAGGAGCAGAGGGCTCTTAAATAAGACTGTAAGAAGTGCCTTCCCAAGCTTAAGGAAGAGTAAAATTCAGATATTTATTAACTTGGTGACTGCTGAGAGTGCAAACAAGTATGTGTGAAGGTGACAAAAAAACATATTAATGTGCCAAAACATGCTATTGTGCAAGTCAAGTGTCAAGTAAGAGCGCTATGTACGAAGTAGGATAATGTCATGCTGTTTGAACCAGCTGTCAACCCACAGTACCCTGACGGTCTAGAGCCCCTTGAAACACTCTTGACTCTAAAGAAAGGCACTTGACCTGTGATCCAAATCAGTGTCCAAAATTTAACAGACCATGACATCTTCTTGGTGGGAAAGACAGAGCTAGGGACAGTACAACCAATAAAATCAGTGCTACCAGCAACAGGGTCATTAGCTGCATTTCCACTATTGGGCCAGTGCGAGCCAGGGCTTTTATTGGGCCAGGCCAGGTCAATTGTCCGGGAGGTTGAGTAGTGACGCCGAAATCATGTCGCATTTCCACTGTCGGGCTAGTGGCTCGCAGCGGGTCACGCAAACCCTGCCCCCAGAACATCCCCCAAATCGAACGTCACTTAATCCGCCCACTTCAGCGGGAATCAGGCAGATAAAGCACACCACATTATCACAAAACTATTAAAATAAGGACAACCAAAACAAACAAATGACACGTTACTGTACAGCAGTACAATGTATGTCTGTACGCACATACCTGTGTTCTCATTCATCATATTCATTTACTCGCCGACCGACTGTTGGCATCAAAATCTAGTGGTCTCGCCACTAACGGAGGGACCCAGTGCAAGGAGCGAAAATCCATAATATAACACCACATATATAAAATTCTCTGTTAATAACTCGATATAAAATGTATTTTATAACATCCTCAGTTAGACAGACGCTGTCCAACATTCATCCCAAATGCTCCGGAGAGAACTGAAACAAACTTTTCCCTATAGGCTTTATGACTCTTAATAGGTGATTCCCTTTATTTAAAGATGTTGCTTATTAAATCTTAAGCAAAGGAAAGTGTTCAGTGTTTCAGCTCATAAGAGCAGCACGTAATAAAATATAGCCTATATTTCATTGCGCTCAGCAGCTATGCACTAATAAAGCTCTTCATGTATTTAAAATTTCCTTTTTTAATTTTACTACGTCATATAAAAACAAACACTTGTTTGAGGACACAGTACACATTTTGAACTTGCAGTGTTCCCTTTTTTTTTCAGAGAGGCTTTTGAAAAATGTTTAATAAGGCTTTAAAACAGTTTGATATAATACCTAATTGTTATAGCTAGCTTTTGTTAGTTTTATATTGGTTTATTTATTTAATGTGATTTTATTATATCTGATATTTGTAATTCTTTAAATTATTTCAATATAGCTTAGGCTATTTTATCTGGATATGACACTATTGTTTTAAGCCTACAAAAGTGGACACGAAATTTGTAAAGTTTAATGTCTTTCAGTTGTATTCATATATGTGTATTATCTCCAAAATAAATAAAAACAATAAAAAATAAGAGAAAAAAGCTGCTCGGCATCAACAGAGCTATGAAGGGAGCGCATCTTTTCCTCGGTCTCACACACACATACAGGCATCTAAACATGCACAAATACACCTTTTAAACTTGACAAAAACTCTCGAAAACATTTACTGTCTGCTGTGTCTTTAATATGGTGCAAAGATTATTACGCGTTATTGAAACATTGAGGACGCAGCAAAGAAAAGTCACTTATAAATTAAAACCTACTTTGTTATTTTATGCAACAGCCTTACATTTAAAAGAGAATCATAAGGGCGATCATACGCAAAAAGACCCCATCCTATAATTTGTTCCAGATGTTTTTTTTCCCTTATTTATTTATTTGTTTATGTGTTTCGCGCATGTACTCGTGTGCAATCGAAAAACTGTGTCCGCCTCTCCTTTCACTCCGCCCCGAAGCCCCGGCTGGCCCTCTTTGGCCCAAGGTATTCGGCGGGCCAAAAAAGACCGGCCGCTGGTCCCAAAAAAGCCCCGATTTGGCCCGATTAGGCCCCGGAAGTGACAGTGGTAATGCGACTGGCCTTGGCTTGCTCACTTTAGGCGAGATAGTGGAAACGCGGCTATTGTCAGATGTAGAGTTCAACAGTAATCGATTTAAATAATCGTGATTGCAATTATGACCAAAATAATCATGATTATGATTTTTCACAAAATCGAGCAGCCCTAAGCATATGTTTTCAGAGCTGAGGCCCTTGCAGCCGCAACCCATCACTGGGAATCATTCACACACATACACTACGGTCATTTTAGTTTTAGACAGATTTAATTAATTTAGTCAGAGTAATAGCATAGTTTTGCCTAAAATATTTCAATACACACAACATTATGGGTGACATATCAGAGTTCAAAAGAGGACCAATTATTAGTGCTTGACTTCCTGGCGCATCTGTGATCAAGACAGCAACTCTGTGATGTATCAAGAGCCATGGTATAATTATGTCAGCAAACCACCAAGAAGGACAAACAACAGGAGTAATTGTGGATACAAGAGGAAGCTGTATGACATGAAAGGGATGTCTGGATGCTAACACCAATTGTACCCAAAAAAATACATAAAACCACAGCTGCCCAACTCACCACAGAATTAAATGTGCACCTCAACTCTCCTGTTTCCACCAAAACTATTTGTCGGGAGCTTCACAGCGTCAATATACATGGCTGAGCTGCTATAGCCAAACATTTAATCACTCCTGCCATTGCCAAACCTCGGTTGCAATGGTGCCAACATGAAACTTGTATTGTTCTCTAATGAGTTCACCTTCATTGTCTTTACCTTTTCATCTAGAAAGGTTACAGCAAGGAGAGGCCCCAAAAAAGCATACCATACATACTGTTGTGGTACAGTTGACATATGCCCAGAGTGTGAATATGTGATGGTTTGGGGTGCAATATCATGGCATTCCCTATACGCCCAACACTTGTGCTAGATGGGTGCTTCACTGCCAAGGACTACCAAGGTATTCTGGAGGACCATGTGAACCCAGTGGTTCAAACATTGTATTCTAAAAGCCGTTCCATGTATCAGGATGATAATGCACTAATACACAAAGCAAGACTGTAACAGAGTAGTTTAATGAACATGAAAGTGAAGTTGAACATTTCCCATGGCCTGCACAGGCACCAGATCTACATCCCCAAACCAGAAAAAGTTTAAACAGTATGGAAAACGCAAATGAATATAAGAAATTCGTCATTTCCTAACTTACTTTGACTTGTATTACATTGCTGTCAGTATAAACAGTGCCAGAAGTGCCATCGACTTCTCTGGGCATGGAGGCATCTGGGATGGACCATCACATAGTGGAAATGTGTACAGTGGTCAGATAAATCAGTATTTTAGGATAAATGTACATGGTGTGTTCCAGACCAAAGAAAAAAGGGATCATCCCGTCCACTGGTGTCAAACTCAGTTCTTGGAGGGCTGCAGCTCTGCACGGTTTAGTTCCAACCCTAACTAAGGCCGTACTCACACTAAGTACAGTTGCCTCGAACAGGGCCAAAGCACGCTTGTCCCCTCTTCCGTCTCCCCCGACGGAGACACGTCATCGATGCTGCGCTGTTCAGTAAGCACTCTCGCTCAGCACAGTGGAGATTTCTCTAGTTATATGGTTTCAGTTGTTTGATATGCAGTGACATGCAGTCAAATATTTCACCAAACAGTCCTTAGGGATGCAGTGACACGCAGTCAGATGTTTCGGCGAACAGATCCGCCAGTTTTGGCGCTCATAAACAATCATAAAGCCCTTGTGCTGCAGGAATGAGGAGGTTTACTAAAGGTGTGCAGCTGTCCTGCAGTGAGGCGTTTGCGTATTTAATAAACTACGGCAGTTTGTGTTCATTAAACAGTAAGAATGATTAATAAATCCAAATGAAACAGTCACTTAAAAGTTACGTCTCGCTTTCAGTTTCAGGCTTTGGCGCGTTTTGCACTCACACTACAAGTGTACCGCGCCAAAGCCCAAATGAACCACGCTCAGGCCCACTTCTTCCAACTGGGCCAGGGCCGGCCAAGAGAACCGTGCCTGAGCCCGATTCTGTGCATTCACACTTCTCAAACGATCCGGGAAACAGGCCTGGGCACAGTTCAGAGTAGGCCCTAAACATACCTGATCCAACTCATCGAGTGCTTTAGACTTGTTTAGTACCTACAGACAGGTGTGTTGTAGCAAAGCTAGAACTAAAATCTGCAGGGCTGTGGCCTTTTAGGAATCGACTTTGACCCTAAATCAGACCATTTGGCCATTACCAGCAAAGTCTAAAATCCAGGGTTTGTCGTGTTATGGGGTTTTATCAGTGCCATTGGCAAATATAACTTGCGCTTCTGTGATGCCACCATTGATGCTGAAAAGTACATAGAGATTTTAGAGCACAATATGCTGCTGCCTTTTCCAGGAATGGCCTTGCATATTTCAGCAAGACAATGCAAAACCACAT